TTTGTATTTTTGTATTTTTGTATGTTTGTAATGAATAAACTCAAAAACTACTGGACCGATTGCAATAATTTTTCCCCATTAGAAAGCTGCATTATTCAGAAGTAACATAGGCTATATAATATCACGCTAGGTCCTATAGTTGTGGAGCAGTAACCAAAAATGTTTTAAAAACGGGGAAAAGTATCGTTTCTGAGGCCTTCCGTGGCGTGCGCTGAGCATATAGTTAAAGTTATACAAAAATGCTCTATAGATGAATTGTTCATAAATAAATGAAATAAGTAAATGAAGTCCGGAAAAATATTTTCAAAAGGTAAATACTTCCTAAATAAAAAAAAACTGAGAATAAATATAAATAAAACGTAAAACTATGTAAAAAATCTTAAGTCCCCCCGTGCGAAGCCGGGACGGGCCGCTAATTCTATAAAATGTATCAAATAAAAATAAAAAACTGCGTTTAAAAAACCGACTTCAAAAAAACTAAAAAGCAAAAAATAACTATTATTGGTCTTACGTACTTACATATATCTTACACACCCACTGATAGGTTAGAAGTCGGTGCCACAAACCCATAACAAAATGTATCTCAGATAATGGTCACAGGTATAATCCACAGTAAAATTGTGAACAGCTTAATAATGTTAGGCATTTATTAAGGTTTTAATGATTTTTTTTGTGTAAAACTTGTGTGCGGCCTGTTAAAGGCAATTGATTTTGAATAAAAAACATGTTTTATCAAATAAAGGTTTACTTTAATAACGCGTGTTGCCTCCATGAGCATCATCTACCACAGCTCTCATACGATTAGATATAGAGTTTATCAACCGCTCTATGAAATTTTGAGGGATCATCCCCCTTTCCTCTTCTATGGCAGTTTTCAAATCCTGCATCGTCTGGGCAACTGGCTGATGAGCCCTAACACGTCTTTTTAGCTGTTTTCTGTAAAATAAAACATTAAAATATTCCTATTAGTGGACAAAAAAGCGAATTGCAATAACATCAATTCAGATATTTCTAAAGGTTCTGTTCACATCGATTAACAATTATGAATGTTATCTCTGTATAAATAAGGTTGACAATATGTAGCGGATAACATTAATAAATACTCGTACACTGGCAACTAAGAACAAAATCTTTTGATAATGTGAGTCGAGGTATTCCTCGTAGCGCTCCCGTTTTGAAGCGCGCCCATCTAAGCGCTCCCGTTTTATTCCTCTAAGCGCTTTGAGGAACGATTAAAAATATTAAAATTTATTTCCTCGAAGCGCTCCCATGATTAATTTTCGGATATAGATGGGACTTCACTAATTTAAATTATCGATAAGAACTAGGTAATAAGTAGAACACATTGTTATAATATACAACTAGCAGCCCGTCCCGGCTTCGCACGGCTTTAGTAATTTTTTTTTTTTGTTTAATTGTAAATCCTTTAGTCCATATGTCGGCAGATTATATTTATCTATATGGTGGAAAATCATAAAGTTTGAGGTACATAGGGATAAACTGCGAAAAGCGACTTGGTTTTTCAGTCTGTATTAACGACTTGTTTTATATTTTTATCTATTTTTGTTATAGTGGTGATGGAAACCTGGATCACTGTCGGCTTTACATCAAGAACATACCCAAGGGTCTGAATGATGAAGGTCTTCGAGCTCTTTTCGCCAAGTTCGGGACTCTCGTCGAAGTATATCTCAGTAAAGATCCGCAGAAGAGTTACGCGCTAGTGAGATATGAGACAGCTGGGTAAGTTCTTTTTTTTATAAACGACTAACTAAATAGAACTTGTACCTACTTCCCATAACCTCAGAGAACTGGAATTTGATGACCATGAGTGAGTGAGTGAGTATCATGACCAGGGGCTTACTCTTGAATCCAATTCCGATCAATCGACATTGGTATTGTGAAATTTCGTACTCTTGAGTTACAACACTAGCGCCCATTGCATCCGTATTGCGTGGATATTGAATGAAGTAAATGGTATTGAGTTTGGCTTTATATTCCGTACTTTAAATGCTATTTTAACAGCTACGATTGGGGTTGTGTAGTTTTGACATTTAATAAATATTGAGATGTTATTGGATTGAAATTGCATTGAGATTGGTTTCAAGTATAAGCACGCTGTAGACTTACAATTTTGGATTTTAAGTAAGTGATTATAGCTTACTGAATGACGAAAATTTCTGCGGCCTTAGTACGAGTTTGTTTTACGTTAAAACTAATCGTAACGAGTACGCGTTCGGCGCTGTGATTGGCCGGCTCCAATGAACCAACCAATCAGAGCGCCCGACGAGGTTTCGTTTCGACTACTTTAAACGTAAAAGAAACTCGTACTAAGGCCTCTGGTCTTATCTAGAGGTTCTCAAATAGGGGCCTGAAAATGCGGTGATGGTTGAATGGTTCCAATAAAGGATGGTACGGCAGTGTTTTCTTCGCGCTCGACTCGGAAGATTTCTTTTTGACAGCGTTTTGGGGGCGTCCCGTTTACTGACAAACGGGGAAGGAAAACATCGTGAGGAAACCTGGGCTTATAATGTCTTCATCAACAGCCTATAAATGCCGACTGCTGAGCAAAACCTCTTCTCACATGGAGAAGGTTTGAGCATTAATCACCGCGCTTGTTCAGTGCGGGTTGGCGATTTTAAACTTATAATTAGAAAAATCCAATTCCAACTCGCATTGAGCAAGCGTGGTGATGGTGACTTTTGCGGTGCATAAAAAGGCCTATAGTTGGAACATATTTTGTCAAAAATTGTAAACAACCCTGTACAAGTGTGGGAGAGCCATGCTTCGGCACGAATAGGCCGCCTCGACCGGAGTGATACTCGGCCTCATAGAAAACCGACGAGAAGCAACGCTTGCGTTGTGTTTCGTCGTGTGAGTGAGGTTACCGGAGGCCCAATTACCTTTCCCTTCCCCAATCCCTGAATCCCTGAATCCCCAAGGACCCTCAAACTTCTAATCCCCAAAAAGCCGGTAACGCACTTGTAACGCCTCTGGTGTTCCAGGTGTCCATGGGCGACGCCGATTGCTTACCATCAGATGATCCGTCTGCTCGTTTACCGGCTAATGCCATAAAAAAAACACTATAGATGCAGTAAAGTGATTTGAATTTGTTATTAAAGCTCAAACCTTCTCCGTGTGAGAGAAGCCATTTATAGATATTAAGTCAGCAGTGGCCACTTATAGGCTGATGACGATGAACGGAGCCGTGGAGGGCGTAAAGGATTACCGGGGCTCCGGCTCGAAGCGCAGGACAAGGAACGGGGTGGTTTTTAGTCAGTAAGAGTCTGACAGTCATCCGATGATCTACCCGCTTAAAAAAAAATAGGCTCATGATGAACCTTGATGTTGTTGGTGATGGACCTCCTGTGCTTTCGATGGCGTAAGTGCCGAACCGTCTGCCACGCATGGGGATTTTACCAAAGCCGACTCCCCTTCTTTAAAGATGAGGCCTTTATTCTCTCTAGACGTTTCCCGACTGATGATCATAATGACGATGATGCTGACTAGTATAATATACAACCGAGAAAAGAAATGAAAAAAAAAAACAATATTCTTTGTTTTTTTTCCACAGAGAAGCTAAGTTGGCGATGATGAAAATGAACAGGACTGAACCATTGAAATTGTTCATCAGCATCGCTTACAAGGTAAGTCTAGAAATGTTAATACTTTTTATAATAACTATCGTGAGACGGTGAGACATATTAAATTAAATAAAAATCGCGAGTTACTCACGTGAATATATTGAGAAAAGCTCTCGTGGTCGCGGCGATGTCGCGCAGTCTACTGACATCGCCACTACCACGCACGCTGCTCATGAGGAAGAACCCCTCTGCGGTTCGAAACTATAGTTTAAGATAGATAAGATAAATAAAATGATATGTTTGTAAACGCACCCACGACACAGGAGAAAATCCTAATGTGGGGCAACGTTTTATTAAAAGAAGTCGATTAAAAAAAGGATAATGTGCGCCTCTACTTCTGTCTACCCACCCCTTCGGGGATAAAAGGCGTGATGTTATTCTATGTATTCGACACAAAAATAATAATTCTAATCGCACCAGTAGTTGCATTCAAACAAACAAACACTTCAACTTTAAATAATCCTATATGCTATTATAATTAAAGATTAACTATAAATCGCGGGTTATTCACGTAAATATACTGAGAAAAGCTCTATTAGTTTCGAACCACATACCTACCAATCGCTCCACCACCACCAACCGCTCTTCCTCATGAGCAGCGTGCGACGTAGTTAATTTAGAAGGCAGTTCTCCTTGAAACGGCGCGCATCGTGATGAGGTTTCTGTCTCTGGAGCCCTAACCACCGGTAGCTTGAACCATGCTGCCACTACTGGTCGACTCCTATTTTTATATTTTTTATAGTATTTAAAAATG